TATATAATCTTTCCCTAAATGAATGGTTATCAATTTATAATAAAGTAATGATGATGATATATAAATAAAGGACAAGGTATACTATTTAGGTTAATACTACATTTTATTTTCATCAATGATGCAAGGTTTTAAGTATTTTAATGAAAGACTTTGCACGTTCTTGTAATCAAGTTTAAATATTGGTTGGCATTTAGGGTTTATATATATAGTTAAACAACAAATGAAAATAAAGAAGGAGAAGGAGAAGAGGAAGAAGAAGAGTTTTGTCTCCATGCTTGGTGTCCCCACGATTGGCCGGATGCCCCTTCTTGAAGCCATGGAAACATGAACAAATCATGGAACAGGGGTCAGGTCATAATTTTTTTTCAATAGTCAAACGCTAGCTCCCTGTTTGCTTCCATCAATTGTTTTTGTTTGCTTGCTCACAACATATAAAAAGAGAAAATAATACAATAAAATGACAACAAACTGAGTTTGGATTTCTAATGCCTTTATTTTTAATAATTATTGAAAAAAAAAACTAACTTTAAGAAGAAGGGATCTCTTATTTCCCTATTCTTTGATCTTTTTCACTCTATCAAGTAATTGGGTGTTTATTTGCCAACAAAATGATAGGCCTATAAATGTCTCCTATAACTGCCACATAAATAACTATTTGTATCAAAGTGATGGGAAACTTGCACGACAACTCTTATTATTGATTATGATCTTTTCAAGAAAAAAAAAACCAAGTAAATAAATAAAATCAATTCTCAAATATCTGCTGGGACCAAAACTTTCGTCTCTCTCCAAAAGATATAATAAAAAAATTTACGCACTTATAGTATTGTTAGGCTAATCACACATATTTATCTGATGATATGATATGATTAGGATTATGAAGGATTAAAGCTTACAATTAAGTAGTACTTGGAGTGCAAATCATAGAGTATTCTGCATTGAGACACACGTAGGAAGTAATAATAATTCGTGTTTTTCTTGAAGGGCAAAAAGCATGCTTTCCTGGTCAAAAGTAATGCAATCAAACATTTCCCTAGAGACCAGCAAAAATTTGGTAGAAGATTACAAGAAAAGAGAAAATCATTAGGTACCAAATCTTCCAACTACCAAAATCATGTTGGAAAGCTTGAAATAAAGCTAAACATAGATTGCTTTTCTTTTCCCATGCTTAATGGCTTCATGGAAAGCAATGTATTGGCTAACAAGATCTTTTACACTTTTATGTTAAAGGTGATTGATGTGTAAACTATGTTTTATAATTAAACCTTAGAACCTATGTAATGTTTCAACAGCCTCGAGAAACAAATTTAATTAGAGGTTTAATTTCATTACGAAAGACTTCACACACCGATAAGGATTTTACTCGAGCTGGAACTTTAATTCTTTATTTTTCCTTTTTCGTTTAAGTCTATCATTTCATTGTTGCCTACACAGATTATTACAAGACGTGGCACAAGTCACCTAGAAAATCTTTCCATCCCAGTTTTACAATTGTCTTGCCAGAAAACAATACAAGTGTGTCACAAATAGACCCAACATACATGTCAAAGTTCCTAAAGTCATGCAACAAACATCAAACTCCGGTTACACCCTATGGTCAGCACATTGGTTTAGTTCCCTAAACACATGAGAAAACATCACATTTCCAATTGCATCATATAATAAACCAATATGTTGAAAGATCTTTCAAAATTTTTATGGTCTTTTCAGCGGACTGAGGACCAATGAAACTGCAATTTTTGAATCCGACTCCACCACCAGAGCTTCTTGACCAACCCAAGGTGACTTGGAAAACAACTACAATGCTATTCTTATTGCGTTTACCTTAATTGCATAAGCATCCGAAATACCATTGGGACCTCAAAAAATAACAAGGATACTACCTGTCTCGTTTCGAAGTACTCCCCAGTCGTTCCAAGATTCTGTCTACTCTCTTAATTTCTAACATTTTTAATGACGGGTCATTTTGTGATCGTAATGATTTTAAATAAAAATATCGAAATACTTAGAATTTGATATATCTTGGATTTCAAATTTTAGAAAACAAAAAATGTGATTATGTAATGAAAAAAATTCATCTCTCATTATGTAATGACGAGAGATGATTAAAATTTAATCTCATGGGTATCTTTTTTTTTTCTCTCAATTGGTCGGTAATTCTATATTAAACAGGGAGCATACTATCTCTTTTTTTTTTTTGAAAAAAAAAAAGGAGCATACTAGTATTTAATGGACGTGAATAGTGGAACGATGAAAAGAAGAAAGTAAATTCTAGGCCATTCCATCAAGTTCCTT